TCTGTGTTCTAAAACATCACCTCTGGGCAATGCATCTAGATATGTTTTGGATAAATACTTATGGCTGTCAGAATCCTCTTCAAATGAAAACACAAGTGTTCCTTGTCTTGACTCACTGGCGCTATCAGCCACAGGCTTCTTATCTTGGTGGTGAGTGAAGCAGCTCGGTTCCTTTGCTTCTTCCCCCAGAGCCCTGGCCGGGCTCCAGCTCCGTGCCTCAGCTGAGGAGGAGGAGAAGGGAGGTAGCTGGCTGCTTGTCTCCATCCAAACAGCAACGGAATTCCTTGGCCAGGATGTTCAGTAATCCTTTGCCAGCTGGCTGCCTCCCCTTCCTCTGGGAACTCAGTGAATCACACCTCCGCAGCAGCGCATTTGGCTCTCACAAGCCCTGAAGGGCTGGAGGCTTGTGTCTGCCAGCAGCGAGGAGCTGCAGCCCAACTTCTGAGCATGGATCATGTCGGGACCCTGGAATTTCTGAGTGCATGAGGCTTCCCAGCTGCAAAGGAGAACACTCATCTGGAGGCCTGGCAGTCAGAGGGGGCTGGGCTGCTCGCATCTCATTAGGGGCCCCTCCAGGAGCTGAAGTTCTCACAGGTAGGAAGCAAGCCTCTCCTCCCCAGGACTTCAGATAAGGTAAGCCTCTGCTGCAAAAGCTCTGCAGCTGTCGGGGCACCCGCAGAATCACCAAACCACCAGGAGGGTTGCACAGGAGGGTGCTCCAGAAAGTTGGTGACAAATAGAGTAAAAAGAGAATTTTATGTTCATGCCAAAAATTGAAATCTATGTATATGAGGAGTCTTCAAAAACTCATCATTATCACAAAAAACTATGAATGGATTTTGAAGTTTTTCTGGCCCCAGAATAAATAACATTTCAGTACATTTTCCAAGAGCTTTTTGAATCTCCTGTTATTTGAGGGTTTTATGTCAATGGTTCAGGCACAGGGAGCCAGGAGGGAGGTGACTGCTGAGTCATCCTTTACTGCTAGCATCAGAAGCACATATTTCAATGCTGGACTTCTTTCTCAAGCAGGAACAAGATTGAAATGTAAGTGCCTCTAGTTTGAGTGATTAGAGAGTCTTTCTTTAGCTAAGGCAGGAGAAAGAAGCCCAATGGAGTAGCAGCAGCCTGTGTAGTGTGTAGTGAGTAAAGCTAAGCCCCACCTATATCCCTACCCCAGCTTGGTAAGCATTGACCCAAATGACCATCAGGCCTCTCTCCCAGGGGGAGTCCTACAGCAAGGCTGGCTCTCTTCAGCCCTGCAGGTGCCCCTTCCAGCTTAATCAGTGGACTGGCCAGGCCACATTTCCCTTCAGTCACTCTGCCACAGCCTGGGGTGTATCAAGTAGGAGGTGGGAAATGGGGAATAAGACTGAGGTGTGAGCTGAGTCCCACAGAGCCATGGCAGGGTAGGAAGTTGAGGCACTAACTAGGAAATTGGCCTGTTAATTCATTGAACTATCCTTTAAGGTGCAGTAGCACATAGGCATTGCATACTGGGAATTCCACCTAATGTCTGTAACTCACTTAGTGAAGAACTGGTAATAGAAAGTCCTGTCTCTTACACTGCTTTTTCCCAGAACTCAAGCTGCCAATGTCAGGCTCTGCCTTTGCGAGCCTGGTTAGAGAGGTCTCCTTTCTAAGTAGCTGAGAAGCAGCAACAGAGTGAAGGCGCAGCATTGCTTGCCTCCCACAGCATCTCTCTTGCCAGCTCTCCTGTTTCCCTCCCACAGGGACGCAGGAGGGACTTGCAGATAGGAGGGGAGTAGCTGCTTGCTAAGAACCCTGGAGCCAGCAGCTCCAGGCCAGTGTAATTCCAAGGGCTCTTCCTCCCCTCCGGGTCTTTCCCAGTGCCCCATTGCATGCCACTCACCATCAGTGCCCAAAGGCTACTTCTGGCAGTTATTTTCCCTGAAAAGATCAAAGTATCCTCCCATTTGAGTCTTGTCCCTGATGAGCACCATCTAGGTATGCAGCAGTGAGTATCCACTCCCAATCCTCACCCTGCATCGAGCTGTTTCTTCCTGTAGCCCAACCCCTTCCTCCCTGCCTGTGCATTCAGAAGGCCCAATGCAGTTCACTGGACTTCTTGGTTCATTGCCAAACTGCTGAGCCTTCACAAGTCTTCATCACCCTTGCAGTACCTCCACTGCTTGACCCCTACCCACTTGAGCACACTGGTCTAAGCCTGCCCTGCTCCTTACCACCTGCCCTCATTTTCCAGGACAGGTATACCTGTCTCAGGTATTCTGTGTCTGTTTCATAGATTCAGGTACTTCTGATGCATGTAACATCAACTTTTCCCTCTCTTCTGCCTCTTCCCTATCTGCTGATGACCACAAGCAAGCCTTTTGCACACACATACAGAAGAGAGAAAGAGAGAAAGAAAGAAACTACAAGAAGCAGTCAACCTTTCCACTTCTCTTTGCCCCATTATCTTTCCTTTCCTTAGAAAAAATGTATTCTATACTCTTTGAGATAATGCATTGTTTCCTACCTTGGTAACTATTGAAGTTATATCTGTTAGAGGGTAAAATCAACACATCATAGATTAATTGGCAGTGCCTTTTCTTCCTTAGTGGGAACATGGAGTACCACGTGTCCTACTATGGGTGACATCTTATATGCGATGTGTTGCATGTGCTGTTTGGAAGAGGCCACTCAACTCTCCCATGCTTGATGTGTCATTAATTCGCAATTACTGTGATCCAGATTGTGTTCCCAACCGCTCTGCTGAACTCCCGAAGTCAATATTTTTAATTCATGGTTAACTCAACCTAGATGTTGCTTTTGGCAGTATTGGCCTTCTGTTTCAAGAGTAGACCCTCTCTCCTGCGTTCGCAAAGTCTTTCTCTTCTTCCCAGCCTTCCTCACCTTGTCCTCCCATGTCTTGCTCCCTGGGGCCAATGTTCCTTGGGGTTTGTTCCTCAGTTCTCATCTTATGTTTCTACCCTTTCTTTGTCACTTAAGGACCAAAATGGGGTGTGGGGGTGGCATACTCTGGATCTGTACTGGAGTCTCTTTCTGGGACCCTGCTCTTTCATCCATAAACCATTGATTCTCAACATGGAGTAATTCTACCCCATGGGACATGTGGCAGTATCTGGTGAAAATTTTAGTTGTCACACCTTGGGAATGCCATTGGTATCCACTGCGTGTAGGCCAGGGGTGTCACTAAACATCCTAAAGAACAGTGCTCTAAGATGAGAATTATTCTAACCAAAAAGTCAAGAGCACCAAGCTTAAGAAGCCCCGCCATAAGTACTTCATGTGGGTGATGCCCCAAGCTGCACTTCCCCTTGAAACGTCTGCCATGACATGCCATTTTGTTCGGGTTACATGTCTCTCTCTGTCAGAGCTGGGAAGCTTGGGCAGGGAGGAGGCCTTTTCTAGCCAGGCCCTGAAAAGGCAGAGCTTGATCGCAGCAGTGTGGGTACCCAACTCCCTTCCCTAAAAAGGAATGTGAATAGAATTGTTAGATATCCAAGCAGCATTGTTGGATTAATAGAACACAAGGGCATCAAAAAGGTTCATGGAAAATTTGCATGAATTCCACTTTCCTTGAGTCTTTTGTAGCGTCCTCAAGTGTCATCATTGTCTGTGCCATATCCCAGATGTTGCAAGTGCTCTGAAGGCAGGGACTATCACAGCCTACCACTGGGTTTGGGGAAGGATAGACCGTGTGTGTGAAGTTGAAGATTCAGGCAGGCAAAAGTTTGTGGACGCTAAGGCCCCTTGCTTCTGCTGCATGATTATGAGCTAATGCCTGTGGCCACAAAGTGTGTAGAAAGAAAAAAAATTAAATTGAAAAGAAAAATTAAAAACAATCTAGAGTCTATTAGTAGTTCTAAAAATTGTCAAGAGGTTGAATAACTAGGTAAAAGCATAAGCGAGGTCTATGTTGGTAAAACAGGGCTTAAGAAAGAAGAGCTAATGGAGGCGAGATGAGCCCAGATTTGTTTGGAATAGTAAATATCCTCCACAGTAAAACTGAAGAAGAAAGTGCCAAGAAAATAAATGGAAACCTTGGAAGAAAAAAGGATGAATAAGACATTTTGGCAGTGGCTTAATTTTTCCACCTTATTTTAGCCTTCTTCTATTACATTTTTGTTTGAATAATATGTAATGTCTTTAAAATTACTTGACACTCTACCATTTCATCTCAAACTCTGCTTCCTGCATGTTTCCTCTACAGGAGGCATTTTTAAAATAAAGCCACGAGTCATGCCCACCGCCAGCTCCTGTGGATGAGAGGAGTTTGCATCATACACCTCATTTCTGGGGCACCCCCTTCCCTTCTCTTCCTTCCTGGGAGCCCCATTTCTTTTTTTATTCTCACTTCTACATGGCACACATCTTTGTGAGCTGACGGTTTATACCTGAGGCAGGGGACAGATTTGTATTTCTTCATTTTTCCTTCTGAATTCATGTGAACACCTTATGAGGGATCTAGTTATGAAAGTACAGGACTGTGGGTTGATGGGGAAGAATTCTGCCCTGAGGATCAGGAAAGCGAGATGCAACCCCCATGATCAGGAAGAAGAGAACCCTTTTGGAGTCTTTTAAGGTGTTCTGCAGAAAGACAAGTCCTTCATATTTCTACCAAGGTCAATTACCAAGGCACTTAAAAAGTAGGCTTCTGTCGTGGCAAATTTTCTGTTAATGCGTGAGGGTAGTTCTGCAGACAGACATGTTAAGTCCTCAGACATTCAACCCTATGGAATCTTTCCTCATAGAGTCTGGCCAAGCAGTGACGTAAGAGAAACGAGAGTGGTTACAGCTGGTAGTTGGTGCACCTCCAGGCACACATCCTCACAACCCCAGGAGCAGCGTGTGGTGGTATCTTGTTCTCCACCTTAGGGACGAATGATCTGAGTCTCGGAGAAAGCATGCTCTCAATTTGTGGGAGAATCTGGATCCCAACTCAGGCTACGGATTTTTTCCAAAGACAGCACTCTTCCCATTCGGGTATGAATTAAATAAACAGCTCAATAGAAAAATTCAGTACAAATTTTTTTATTGACATTGTAAGAAACACTTTTTTTTTGTTACAAAAGGACTAAGTGGTTCTGGAAGCAAAGGTAAGAGTTCATCTATGGCTGGGCTGCAGCCCCTGGGCTTGAGGTGGGCACTGAGCATTGCAGGGGCTACAGGCTCATCCCAAGGAGGCCCGGGGCTGGTCACATACGAACACTATGCCTACAATACTTAAATGTTTTTACATGTGTTTCTTTTTAAAAAGGATTACACATTTTATTTTTTAAAAACTCTAAAAAAGGTGAAAAAAATGAACTTGTATTTTATCTTACATGTTTGCAGGATACACGGGGTAATTTGTCGGAAGAGGACATCCTCCTTTCAGTTCAAAACGACACAGGAAACCAGGTGACAAGACAGCTCAGACTGCGCTCTGGCCTCAGAGCGCTGATTGGGCAACACCCACTGGCCCCTCGCGTTGACAAGAGTAACAGAAAATAAGGCACATACATTGCAAGAATCAAAACTTTGGAGCTCAAGAGAATGAGCCCATGTGTGAGGAGCAGGGGTAGTTCAATTAGTTCCTTAGAAAAATAAAACAAGAATGGCCTGAAAAATGAAAATAAGTTTCACACAGATGTCAAACAGGAGTCCCACGTATGAGCCTGCATTTATTATAGAAAGTAGGAGTCAATGCCATCTCTCTAAATGCATAGGTCAAAGAAACTGGGCAGAAGGCTGGAGGCTGGTGGTGGGTACCTCAAGATGAGATAGATGCCAAGTCTATGGAGATCGCGTGTCCCCACAGACTCACTTCTAAGTGACCTTAAAAGATCTTCCTTCCACTGGACTGTCACGACAGATCACTGGAGTCCTGGAAAGGTTCACTTTCTTCTTCCCTCCCTCCTCTCCTCCTTTCTTTTGGAATTTCTATACTGAGAGAAGCCAAATATTAAGCTGAAATGTGTGTCTCCTGCAAATCTAAAGGCAGTAGCAAAGAAAATGAGTACAAATATGGCAAGTAAAGAAGAGGGGGACCCCGAAGGTAACCTGAAAACAAAGGGAAAAGCATCTGAAACCAAGTAGGAAAGGGATTGGGTCAGCCTGTGACAGCGTGCAAGGCCAGGACCTGGAGATTCCAAGGTTCATGGAAAAATGAGATTCAGCAAGTGGAGGCTTGATGGTGACCTATTTGAGGAATACAGAAAAGGCCTGGCTTTTTCAGCTGCAAAGTGGTAGAGACTCTACTCTCCTGAGTTCAGATCAGTAGTTCTCTCGTGAGCTGTTCCAAAGGAGATACATCCTTGGATTTAAAGGAAGGTGCTCTCTGGAGCAGGACAGCAGGGTGTGGGGGAGGAATGCGCATCCTGCTTCTGGTCTCCGGGATGTTTGATTAAAAGCCAGCTCAACAGTTTTAACCACGTAGTCCCAAGTGGCACATTCAACTCTATGTTGAGATTCTTGGTCCAAATGAGAGAAAATAAACATAAGAAAGATGGGCTGGTCCTAACGTGTCTATTATCCCATGCTTTATTTGACTGTCTTGGTACTAATTCAAATGGCAGAAACAAGGGCAAACGCCATACAATTGAATCATGAATCATTTTGAGTAAATCCAATCGGGAGGCCAACAGGGACAGAATACAGAAGGGAGTTTGAAGCGTTCATAATTTTTAATAGTTTACATATTTTTGAAAGCAATATGCTGGACAATCCATGTACTCTTTGTGCACACATAGTATGATCTTGATATGTATCAACTGCACATGGGGAGTAGCTGTACTTTTAAAATATTTAAATATTTTAATCCAAAACAAAAGTACAGATACTAGTCCACAATATGGACTAAGAACATTTAACTTCTTAAGTGGATGCAGCTTTCAATCAATGGGATGTAACAGAGGCATCCACAGAGCTGTGAAATATCTTCCTTAGTGCTCTCATGCTAAAAAATGGTTGAGGCAATTTACTCCCAATATCAATGTCTGTGAGCTTTATCTTTACAATGAAATTTTACAAATCCCTGAAAATAGGGTGTTTATAATAGAAAACGCCTTCACTACAGTGGAATTAATAAATGTTAATGATATAGCCAGTTGTGGGATTGTTTAAATACCTAGATACTTAGAGCTATATATAATCAATTCTCAGTTATCTATGATAATGGGGAAAGAGATGGCAGTAATTGACAAATACAGCAAACCCACGAATCTTCCCCAAACTAATTCTACCCAATGTCTTCAATCTACAATCTATCTAATGCATTACCAAAATGGGTTAAAATAGCTACATGTTTGAGTGTCACTAACTGCCTGCCCCCTCTCTCACCACAGTGCCACACAGCACTGAATGTTCCTGAAGGTTGAAAGGAAAGAGGCCAACGAGCTAACTGAGAACTGACCATAGAAACAAGCACTCACATACACGCAGAACTGAAAACCCAAGCTGTGAGCAACCCATTCCACTGGCAAGAGCCCCAAGTGTCCACTTCTGTACTGTCTGAAGTCTGCCCTGAATTGACTTAGGGTGGGGAGCGCGCCCAAAGTGTTATCTCTGCCACAGTGCACCCACAAAAGAGTTTTAAACTCACTCTCCATATTCTGAATCTGTGCCCAATGTGGGGATTAAAAGCAAAACAAAAAACATTGAGCCCATGTACAGGAAAATTTTTAAAAGCTGGAAGTGTTAACCCCTTGGTCACAAGCACCCCAACTCCTACTTCCTTTGAGTAACAAAGAAACGCGTCAAATCCTTTCATTTGACCTCTCTTCTAAAAGAAAGAACATGCACATCACACATTTACACTGGTTTACTAAAAACAGGGATGGGCTTACAGTTTAAAAAAAAAAAAAAGACGGTGTTCGGAATATAACAATACTGACTCAAAACTGAACTGGAAGACAGTTTCTCCCTAGAATACTTTAGGGTTTTGCAGAGTCCTTTTCCATAAAAGGAATATACTTGAAACACATCCCAGTTAGGTGAGATGAGATTGCTAAAATACATACAGAACTGAAAAAACAAACCAGCCAAACACGGAGTCCGTTTCATCTTTCAACTCCTAAAGTTTCACGTCTGTTTGCAGTCCTTTTTCCTAATGCCTATTGCATAACTGCAAGGAATTTGCTTTCTTCCGCGAGGGAGGTCAGCAAAGAACTCATGTCTCCTATAGCCATGTTGGTGGTGCTCACAGACAGGGCTGGGAACGGGAGGGATGCCCGTGGCGTAGTGAGGCGGGAGGAGCTATGGGAAAGGTTCTGAATGATACTTGGGCTCAGGGCCCCAGACATGAGGCTGGCGTGGTCCCCGTCGTCTATGATGGCATCAAAATCAATCTGCACTCCTTCCAGGTCATGGCTGTCGAGGCTGTCAACTGTGCTTGTCACCTGGTTAGCACCTGGGGAAAGTAACTCAGAGTTTTCGGCACTGGCTCCCTGTAGCAGGCAGCTGGCTTCTGCAACGGAGAATGAACCAGCTTTCATGTCTTGCTGACTGAAGCCCACGGTTTGGTCATAGAACTGACCGGAGTAATTCTGCATATTAGAACAGAGCTGCTGGGGCTGCCCTTGGATCTCCATCTTGATGCCATTCACCCTGCAGGTCTGACTCGAGTCACCTTGTTGTCCGTGCTGCAGAGGAAGGCTGCCCCTTGGCACAGCCTGGCGTCTGCTGCCCCCATAGCCAGCACACAGCTGGTAGCCCCTGACACCTGCTAAGCTTGATGGCTGGCTGTGAGTCCCCGGCAGGCAGCTCTCTGGCCCTTGGAAGATGTTGATGTGTGAGGTAGCACTAACCTGCCCTAGCATCTGCTGACCGGGGCGGCCTGCCCCCTGGTGCTGCATGCTGTCGCTGAGCAGCTGGTGGGCAAGGAACCCCTGTCCCACCGGGTCTTGAGCCTGCATGCCACTCAGCATGCCACCAGCTGGCTCACTGGGCACCACAGACAGGCCAAAATCCAGTGGGGCCCCATTCCCTTGCATGGCGGTGCTTTTCAGCTTGGACCCTGGGACCCCTGCACCACAGGCACTGTCTAGCACACCGGGAGCCCCTGGCTGCCTGCTGAGACAATTTCCATACTGCTGGGCCTTGTAGGGCTGTTCATGGAAGGCGTTTGCACCGGGGCCAGCTCCACCCCCGCTGTGGAGGGCCAAGGGCTCCGGGCCACCGTAGGAGCTGCTGCTCTCACCCAGGGTCGGGTACCCCCCAGCTGGGCCAGCCCCGCTGCTCCTCGCTGGATGCTGCGGGTGGACGGCCGTGTTGTTGTATAACCCAAAGGCGCGGGCCTGTGGCACTGCAGACCGCTGGCCGCACTTGAGCTTGGACGAGGACAGGTCGGCGCTCCCGGAGCTGACTTCGTTCCACTGGATGGGCAGATCGGTTTTGCTGCCTTCGGTACAGGGCTGCTCCAGGGCGCGGTACTGCTGGCCCAGGTGACTGTCCGGCAGCCCGGGCTGGTCGAAGTCACCAGCCCCGGAGGTCCCTTTACTGTCCTCCGGGAAGTGCTGCCCATACCCGGCTTGGTTCTGAGAATTTAAATACTGCACGACGTCATCCGGCAAGAAATCCTCATCATTCAGGCTGGCATCCGCATCCATGGTCAGGGACTCCAGGGTGACGTTCTCGCTGATGCTGGGAGGGCAGGGGGATGCGTGGAAGTGCCGGGCGGGGCCCCCCTCGGGCCGCGTGTAATTCTGAAGCACTAGGTTACGCTTTTCGGCGGCCGGGGGCAGCCCCGGAGGGTTGAAGCTGTTCAGGCTGCTGAAACGCTGCACCCGGGGCAGAGAGAGGTTTTCTGACACGGTCCGCACGGGGTCGCTGGCTCTCCGCACGCCGTGGCCCAGGGCGTCGTGGGGCAGCAGGTGGCGCCGGCCGTAACTGTGCGACCCGCCATCGCTGCACCTCCGCGGAGGGTGCACGGGCGGCAGGGTCACCGCGGCCTCCCGTCCGTCCCCGAGCAGGGCCATCCTGGTCTTCAGGCTCAGCCTCTCCATGTGGGGCAGGGGCGTGGGTGGCGGGCCGCCCGTGGCCGCCGCGTACTTGGCCTTTAGGCGGTACTGCTGGGCGGGCGTGAGGCTGAGCAGGCTGGGCAACCCGTCTCCCTGGCTGGCCTCGCTGGACCTGCGCGAGGCGTCGGTGGAGATGGGGTCGTAGGAGTCGGCCACGCTCACGTTCTGGGGCCGCCCCTCGGCCTGCGACGCCTCGCTGGACCTCCGGCTGGAGAAGCAGGGCGAGATGCCCGAGGAGCGGCGGCTGCTCAGGTAGGCCGAGCTGATGGTGCTGGTGCTGCTGTCCCTGCGGTTGAGCATGTTCAGCATGGTGATGTCCACACCGGAGAGGTCGCTTCTGTTCGGGAGAAGAGTCACGGGCGCTCCCGCGCTGCAGCTGCTGTTGGACTGCGTGCCTGGAGAAAGGGCACGGAGGGAGAAAGGCAGGGAGGTCAGAGGGATGAATCCATTTCGAGGATCACTTAACCTGGCCGTTCTCAAGCTCCTTCTGCAAAGGGCCAGGTGGTAGTATGTTCAGTTTCTGTCACAACCGTTGTGACTTTGTGATCTAGTGCCAGAGTGCACACAGAACAACGTAGCGAGGGGATCTGCATGGCTGGGTATCAATAAAACTTTACAGGGGTCTGCAGCCCCCTGGCTTCAACCAACCAACACCACCACAATGGGCCATGTACACGCTTAGTCTTTTTTTTTTTTTTTTTTCAGTATCATTCTTGTGCCCCTTGTCTTAAAAATACACACCATCCATTCAAGCAAACAAACAAAAAAAAACCTTGAATGGGTATGGTTTCAGCATTACCATGGACCATTCATGGCATACTCTTGGGACTGATGGAGAAACTGAAAAAAAAAAAAAAAAAGGAGGGCCTGCTTCTGCTTCCAGGCTCAACCCCGAGCAGATGCATGATCTGCTGCGGAACTCACCATTTCCTATGAGAGGAGAGACTGCAGGGGCTTTGGGGGGTAGAATAGGGTTCAGTCGCGGAAGCATTCCATTCACTTGTGTTAGCCTTTCGAGTTTTACGTGCTCCATCCATTTGGTCCCTGCTGGGTTTCTCCTGGCTTGCAAAGCAAGGGCTGTGGTTGCAGTGGAAATGGTCGAGTCCATGATTGGGGTTTCGTCGATGGCACTGAGGTCTGCTACACTACCTCCATCAGTCAGAGGAAGCTCGAGCCCACTGTTGGAATAGTTGCTGATGGGGGACTGCTGGCTGCTGCATGAAGACTGACCACCAGGGCTTGGCTGAGATGTCTGTTGGAGTCAAGAGGAAAGGGCAGAAAGGGCATGAGGAAGGGTAAAGGAAACCAAGCCAATAATGAGAGCGCATGCATGCCAAGACGTTGGGGATTATCAGTGGGTTGTATGAGAAGAAAAACTAAGTTCTAGTGAACGGACATGGTCTCCCTGGCCAAAATGAATGATGGACCACTAAGCTGATGTGCAGTGGGAGGCAATGGACAGCAGAGAATGCCTAGATACCGTGTGACTGGCATGAGGGCAGCCAGACGCCTGCCTCAAAGGCCAACTCTGCAGACACCCTTCCTGGGCTCCAGCCCCACGTCCAGAACTTTACTCTTTGGGAAAATTACTTAGCCACTCCTAACTGCAGTTCCCTTATCTGTGAAATGGGGACAACTTATTTTAGGAGTTGTTGAGAGTTAAGTGTGATGCCCACAGAAGACACATATGAAAAGACCTGGGTAATAATAATTGGTTCAAAGGGCATTATCTTTTCCCAGGTCATTTCTGTCTTTGGGGTTTGTTTTGCTCAGCTAAAATGCATGTGTAAGATTTGCTCCATAAGCACACATTGCTTTCTCTCCAACAAGACTGTTCAGGGCTGGTACCCAAACTCATAGAAAGTTTTCCTGCATTGTGGAAGTGCAACCAGGATATGGGTAAATGCAGCTGTAAGGGATAAACCTTCAGTCACTGATCTGCTATGCTCAGAGAGGGAAAAGCTACAGATCACAGCCATCCTGAATCTGTGGAATGATTGGACCCATCCCTTTAGTGCTCCTACTATGAGAACTCGAAACTGTTTTCCTAGTCCCAGCTAAGTGGATCCTGTAAGAAATTTGTGTGATTAACAGGGAATTACTCTAGTTGGTTTCTCACTCAGAGTAAGTACCACCTCCTATGTTTTCCAAGACTCTTGAGAATAGGGGAGTTGAAAGCCTGGCCACCTCAGTGTCTGGGGAGCACTACAGCACATGGCCTGCACTGCAGAGGGCAGCTAGCATGGTACAGAACTGTTCTTTCAAAAATTCCAGTGCTGCTCTGGTGGGCTGAGACAGCCACCCTTGACGTGTGGATAAGAAAGTGATGTTCAGAGAAGTCCAGTGACTATCCAAAGTCATAAAGTGAATGGTGGGACTACTTCTCCAATGTTCTATAAAAACTGGACCCAGAGACGGCAGCCAAAGGAGAGCCCTTCCCAGGGAGAGACAACTACAAACCCCCTCCGTGACTCTCAGGTGAAATGCAAGCTGCCGTCAGAAGGTGTTTGTAGAGATAAGTCTTCTCCATGGACCTTGAAATACATTTCTGCTATCAGAATACATACACCCAAGCAAATGAACTTTCTAAGTGAGTGCCACATGATATACTAACTTTGTCCCAGGCAACCAAGCAGAGCAAAGGAAGGTATGCAAATATGGTCATGAACAGGTGAAGCCCTGCTTAATTTTAGCCTCTGCCAAGTCTTGGAGTGCCGGACCACCTGTTCCTTCCCAAGATACTTGTCCTTTCCACAGCTTTGGGTTTCTTTACTCAGTGTGTGTGGAATAAATCTGTGTGTATTCTGTACGTATATGTACACACACATGCAGACACACACTTTGAGTGCAAGAAAGCAGACATGCACTTACAATTAAAAAGCTGCTTCAGTGAGCTCATATATATTACATGTAAGTTGAACTACTAACAACACATGTATTCAGAGCTTCCTCAAAGAAGGTGGTGCACATCTGGTACAAAAGAGAATTTACACTGCTCAGTACAATCATTCAGTAGAATTTGAGAACATCTGCTTGGTCGGCCCTGGTGTGACTTATTATGAGAACCCAGACAAATAAGAACAATGGATTTCACCATCTAACTCCACACTGTCCACATGCTGAATGTGCAAAACATGTTGCTTCTATATATGAAACACAACTGAGTAATGTTCACTACCAGAATCACCACAAGGTCACACAAACAAAAGAAAATGAAATGAGCAAAAGTGAAATGTCAAAATGAAAGCAAAGCAAAAAGAACAGAGAAGCCAAAATTTCCCTCACCTTATTACCCACTGTCCTTAGGAAGTGAGAACAAGACATTTAGGAGCATTAGACAGAAGAGATGTTGCATTAATAAGAAAAAAGAAGAAAGAATTTAATTTATAGCAAGATGATCAAATTAAAGACATGTTTTTAGAGAAAGAATATTAGATGTGTAAATCTCATGTGCATCGGTAAATGCCGGTGAAGACAGCTGCCCATATTTAAATGTGAGTGCACAGACTCCTAACAGTTTACTGTGGACAGGTGACTGACTTGTGAACACCGCTGAGCCTCAGCTCCTCACCTGGAAAGTACGGTGCCCTTTTTCCCAGCGATCTTGTCTAGTCCCATGTTTCTATGATTTAATTACTTTATAAAATATTGTACCCATTGGGGCATCTCAATATCATGAAGCCAAAACTACAAGTGTTTATTTCTACCAATTTTTTTAAAACAATACATGTTGGAAGAGGAGAAGGTAAATTTTCTTCAGTTAGGGATATACATTAAAGGTATAAGAAACTCTGGGTTCCAAGGATGTCCCAAGAACATCAATCATCTTTTGATCACATAATCTAGATCCTAAATTCAATGACCTTTTTTTCATTAAACACTTGATGATAAATTGTTTAATGTTCTGCATAATTACTATATCTGTGGGCTTTATTTTGAGAAGTAGATATGTGCTTCCTTCCAAAAAATGCATACAAAATATAGTTCATCGACTGATTAATTTAAAAATACAGTGTTCATAGCACACTTATGGAAATTCTATTAAGATGGTTCTTAAAAGCAAAGTATAGCTACCCACTGAGAAATAAAGATTAATCTGGATAGCTTATTTGCATTATTTTTGGCTAGACTTAATGTTCTACACCACTGTGGAAGAGTTCAGAGATGTACTCATTGAGATCATTAACATACAGCTTCCCATCCAGCCAGTGGAGGAAAAGCATGTACGTTCTCTCCTGCCCATACTTGCTGCTGCAGACTGACATCTGTCATGAATCTGAGGACACCCATCCAACCGCAGGACCGCTCTGATTTTCAGAAAATGCTTCCCTAAGCTGAGTATAAATCTGCCTGCCTGATCATGTCTATGTGTCAGGAAGTCTACGCGGGGGACTTCCACCTGGCACACTTCCTCCGCAAGTCAGAGGGTGACAGGCTAGAATCCAGTATATTCTCAGTTATATCCATTATACACATGGCCAAATAGAAAGGTACTATTTCTCTTCTACTGCCCACTTTGTTTCTTTTTGCCCTTTGGAAATTTTTAGGTGTTTTATGAAAGCACATTCATCAACAATAGAAGTTTAGTAATAGCTGAAAAGAGTAGCATAATCTACATATTCGATTAGCTACGGAACCATAATGATATTTGCCTTTAAGAACCGTTGCATTTCCTCCCTTGTCTCCATCTCCTTGGTTCAAGCCCAGCTGCAGAAATGGTCTCCAGTTTGCCCAGTCTACTGGGACCAAAGTTCTTGTTTCTAAAAATGACCGGACCCTGCCATTCCATTCCCTGTTGTAAAACACATCCTTCCCGTCCTCACCCCTTCTGTTTCTGTGCATCCTCCCAGGGCCCCAGGGCTGCGGCCTCTCCGCCTGCCTCTTCTCCCTCTCCAGGCTGAACTTCCTGTCCGGGTCCCTGCGGCCTCACCCTTGAGTGCACAGGCATTTAGCTCCTCTCTTGAACACTCCACACAGCCCTGTGTTCACGGCCCTCACACTGAGTGGCAACTATTTGTTTTTCGGTCTATCCCTCTGGATTGTAAACCCCTAAAGAATAGGGACTGCGGCTTCTTTATCTTGGGGTCACTGGGGCAAAGAAGACAGAAAGCGTGTTTACGAAGAGACCCGATGAGTGATTTCTACATTACAGGCACACTAAAGAGACAGATGCATCTTTCTTCCTGCCACAAGGGGTATGGCTCGGGACTGATTTTAAAAACAGTCTGGAAACCCGGGAGCTCTTTTCTGAGCTCAGTTATTCTATGCAGATCAACTTCCGCTAAAGCAATGCAGGTCACCAGGCTCAGGACCTCTTCACACTAGAAACAGACCGATGCAGCAGCCTAAAGCCCTAAAGGACCTAAAGGACCGCAGGCTGCCCTGGGAGGATCAGGAGACGGAATGACATACCATGGGTTTCTCGGCCTTGACCGTCTTCACCTGGAGGCATTCTTCCCGCTTTGAGGTAGTGTTGCTGAGGTCCTTCTGCTCCCCGAGGGCTCCCTGAGTCGGCCGGCCGGGCGACCTGGACTGTGAGTGGCTGCCGGGATCCCGCGGGGGTGGGGGCCGAGGATGCATGTCCCCACGCTGCTTCTTGGTGACATGAGCCTCTGGGCCATGCACGGTCTTCACGTGTTTCCGGAGGGAGCTTGGGTCTGTGTAACGTTTAGTGCAGCCTGGGATTTTGCACACATACGGTTTCTGCCAAATGCCGCAAGAACGAGACAGCAAGGTTTTCAGAAAGTGAGTCCTTTGTGGCCGCTCACTGCATTTTTAATTCTTTCCAAACACATTCACAAAGCTCAGGGGAAGACAAATCCCTCTAGGAATTAATGGTTTCATAAGGCCATCTGATCTGTGCTCGGTGTCCATGGGCTCTGCCTCCACAGCTGATTATTTTAGAGAGAGCCTAAGAGAGCTGCGAATGTGGAAACTGCCATCCTGGTGTTGGATGCACTTACGCTGTGCATGGGAAGAAGTGCAGTGGTGCTGTGACAGGTGCCCCACAGACACTGCGGTGCCATGCTGCTACTGATGATGGAAGAAGGCCTAAAAAGATGCCTGTCACTAATTAGGGAATGCCGCCAATCCTTTACAAGCGGTGGTGGGAAGAAATATATTATGGATAACCTGGTTCTGAGGCTCTGACCTCTTTGAAAGTTGGCTATTTATACGCTGGCATAATAAAAAAAAGATACTTCTATCCTCTCGCCTGTGACATATCACTAACATGTGTTTCTCTGGATACCTTTACAACTGCGAGTGGATGTCAGGGCTCAAACGCACCTTGCACTCCTCTAATCTTCACAGTGCCAGAGCCCCTTTACAGACATCCACGAATATTCACCAGAACCTGCAGAGGGCGATGGGCCATGATCTGCACGCTGGGATTCCTGCTCTGTGCTCCTCCTGAGTACCAAGATTTAGAAACTATGTCATGCTAATTTCATTTCCTATGCGAGTCAGTGATTAAGCCTGCAGATAGTTACCAAAATTATCTGTAGGCTTACAGCTAAATATTTCTCCTATGACAGAACTTCTGGCCTTGGCTCTTGCCCAACATCAGAATTGTACCTTTATTCACTTGGCTTGAAATATAATATATTCATGGATACTTGTGTGAGTATATATTTATATGTCTGTATACCTGAAGATGAGCTATCAGTAAGCAATCATCATAAAAAGCATGATTAATATAATGTACCCATTACATTTTAAAAGACGTGCTGTCCGGTAGAATACATGTATCTGAAAGATGCTTTTTCTCTAACAGCTCAGAACAGACTGAGTGCTACCTAAAATGCTGAAATGTCCTAATGCAATGACGAGCCGATTCTGAAAATTATCCTGACAGCCTTCACCTCCGACTCTCAGATTCCTTTGGGTCGAATTGATTCCCATTAACTAGGAATTACGTCTATTCAGCACCTCGTGTGATTTGCAGCATGTACATAATGAAGTGAGCACGTCCAGTTCTATGCATTAGCGACAGAAGAATGGCCCTGACGATGAGTGCCATTAGCTTACCATATTCTCACCCTGGCCCTCTGCTTGTTCATGGCATTGCTATGGCAGGTCATGCCTGCAGAAAAGCAGGCTGGGTGCACGGGCCAACAGTGTGGGGATGGGGACCAGGAGAGAGACAAGGAGCACAAAGCAAGACCAGAGAACTACTCTTCCTATAAGTAAATTCATGTTTGTTACAGGTTAGCCCAGAAATAAGGAAGCAGCTACTTTGGAAGAAGTATACTCCTGAGTTTCTGGGAGAGCGGCATGTACAGCTTGTACACATGTGTCCTTGCATGTGAACATCGAAGGGACTTTAAAAAGTCTGTGGAAAACACAAAGTCCTTCAGGTTTTCGGGAGAGGGAGATTCAAGGGCACCAGTGCTCAAGGAAGCTTGTTCAATGGTAGCCTTGGGAGGCACCTGAGCTGTGTGGTCTGCAGCAGCGAGAGTCCTGGCAGAGCCACTGAATGGGCAGGATGGCCAGAGGGACAGAGCAGTGCTGTGGTGGCTCCCTGGAGTGGACTTCACTCCCTTCCCATTCCCTTTCATGCATTCCTATGCTACACCCTAAATAGCAAAAACCTGGGCACAGAACCAGCCATCAGTATTTGTTAGGGGGATAAATGAAGGTACAGAGAAAGTGCAAGTCAATGGAAGCAAATACACTGCTTCATCTAGGACCATCTGATGACACGAATCTGGATTTCTTGGACAAACTTAATTTTGGTGCATCTGAAACTGCCTGTCATTCATATGCAAGGCCACAGGTTTGTAAATGGCATAGAGAAAAACAGCTTACGTGTTTGTGAGTAAAATTTTAATTATGCATTTTTGATCCAGGTTAATAATTTAAGTAAATTGTTCAACCCTGAGGAAGGTTATTATTGATGAAGATATCTTAATCTAATAAGATATTCAATTCTCACATAGCACTGTGTTTTTTACCTCACAGAAGAACACAGGTTCAACTATAATGCAATTAATTAAAGCAAGCAAACATGTGCACATATTTGAAGTTCACAAAAAATAAAAAAAGAAAATAAAAATAAAAAAATAAAAATAAAAAGTTTACATGTGTACACTGCTAATATTAACATATCTACTACCCAAATTTCTTCATTATAACATGATAGAGTACTGGCTTAAAATCTATTAAAATGGATATCTTCTAAATTTCTAATGAAGATGATAGTTATGAATGCTTATTATGAAATACAGTTAAATATATTAAGTTCTAAGATGTTAGTCAAAGCCCCTCAAATTTTTTGAAATTCAGATGTAAGTCCCATGCCATAGCAGGAAGTCTTTTAAATTGCACTATTCAGTGGCATCTAGTACATCATAATGTTGTAAATCATCACCATTAATTCCAAATACCCTTAAGCCTTCTTCTCTTAGCTTCTGGAAAGCACTACTCTAATTTCTTCTCTCTGGGTTTATCTATTCTAGACTGCCCTAAAATTGTGCACTCAATATGTACAACAAATTATAGTGTAGCTATTACACATGGCAAGTATTTTTGGACAAAAAAAAGTACTTTGAATATTAAAACGTGGAGGTGTGGCACCTTCCCTAAAATGTCTTCAAATAATTGGTCCATAAGGAGATTTCAAAAGAGTTGAGCTTTCTTGTTCCTCCACCACCTTTTCAAAAAGAGTAGGTATACATGAACTTGCACATGCCAGTCTGTATGTGAGTGCGTGTTTCAGAGAGTGTGGTTAATCTCTTTTCAGGCACTTTTGTTCCATCAGTTCCATAAAAAACGCAGTGAGGACCATCTTCACCGCTGAAAAGCCACAGGACTGTTGAGTGGAGTGACTCATTTACTTGCTTTTTACCAGATTTCCTCTCCCTAACTCTCCATCTGGATGGTCATGAATGAACCAGAGCTGCATCTGCTGAAGTCAAAGGACGGCCACTCCAAGGACGTAGGTGTGCACAATACAGGATCCTTCCCTGACACTTCTCAAGCAAACTGATGACACACTTTGTGGGGCTGAACTATGTGTCAAGCTAACAAATTCTGATTAGCTATCCTATTTCTACCCAAAAAGTGGGGAACTTTTTTTTTTTGTTAATTTCTTGATTCATTTAAGAAAAAGCTTCACAGAAGAGGTATTTCTTGAGCAAGACCTCCAAGAAGTTGGAGGTGTGCAGGTAGGTGTGCACTAAAGCATAAGCACAGACCAGGTATCTAGCTTAGCAGTTAAGATATCAGTGTTCCACGCTGCAGTTCTTGCGTTCAATTCCCAGCTCTAGCTTGACTTCAACTTCCTGCCACCGCAGACCCTGGGAGGTTTTTGCCACCTACATGGGAAACCTGGATTAAATTCCAGGCTGCTGGTTCTGGTCTTGGCCCAGCCCCAGTGGTTGGTGGGAGTGAACCAGTAAATGGAAATCGCCCCTCTAATATATTTTTTTCAAAATTAATTTGGAAACTTCTGTTCTCATGCTTCTGTGTAATTTGAGGGATGTAGCTACCTAAAAATAATAGCACCACAACAGGAACCACCTGCTACCATGAAGCCTTACTCAATACGTCATTTTGAGTTACTGACTGGAAACCATGCTGAGTTTCTGAGAGTATCTTCCAAAATTCGTTGGAATTTAGAACACCTGGAAATTGTATTTAACTATGAGTGGTTGCTTCATAAACAACTTTTTTGATTCAATGCATCTTATGATACCACCTGGAGACAGCACACAAAGGTGGCTGTCCTAGAAGTGAGGCTGGCAGCTGAATCCATCCATGGTGCTCACAGGGTCCTCCTGTGTGCATGGTTTCATACTATTCAGGGCAGAGCAAGTGGATAGGATTCCAAGTTTAATGCTTCTACTGTTTGACCAGTAGGTGGCAGTTCCAAACAACATGAAACTAAGTTCACCAGGGGTTTCAAGAAATTCCCACTTTGTCCACATTACTCTCCAAATGAGGTCCGGTTTTCAGCCCCACCCCTGAGATCCCAGCCTTCACCTGCAAAGTCAGAACCATTCATGCTGGTAACTCGCCCTGCCCTTCCATGTACATTCCCAGGAGGGCTCTTTGTTTCCACCTAGGAGCTCCGGGTCGGAGGAAGACACTTACCTCATTGGAATGTGTTCTGTTTTGGTGCTTGGCACGATCAGAGGCATTTGAGAAAGCCTTGTTGCAACCTTCGTGCTCACAGACGTATGGTTTCTCTCCAGTGTGAGATCTCAAGTGCGTTTTCAAGTTTTCGAGTCTCGAGTAGGCCTTTGTGCAACCTTCAAACTGAAGACAACAGGTAAATCTGGATTACTCCACACAATAGTCATGGCAGCTTTTGCCTAACATTCCCTCAAAGTGGATGAAAAACTGACGTTTCAAGGGTCAGCAGCTTTTCAAAATCAAGGAACAAAAAGTCCACTAAACTCTGCATTTATTGGGATTCAGATGTGGCTCGGTGCAGTTCAAGATAAAGCATTTTCAGTGCCAGTGAAAGTCCTGAAGTTTTGTTTTTTTTTAATAGACCGCTCAATGTGCACAATGCCTTTCATTATCTGCTCACTGATCTCCTCGAATTCCCACTGATTTCAGATTCAGCACAAAGTTCATTAATATGGCTTTGTGTCCATACAAAGACATGGAATTTGATCATGTTTGTAAAGGGCCTTTAAGATGTAAAGTACCAGGGCTGAGCAGTGTCCAGTGTGTCTCGCGGCACCTCATGAAAGAAAGCTCAGTCCTCCACGGGACTGCACTATGCTGAGGGGAAAGGCAGGAGTGCGTGCAGGAGCTTAAAAACCAAGTGCAGGTTGTACAGCCCTTACCCAAAATGCTTAGGCACCAGGAGCACCTGAGTTTTTTCAGACTATGGAATATATGCATACACATAATAAGATATCTTGGGATGAGCCCCAAGTCTAAACACAAAATCCGTTTATGTCCCATACACACCTTGCTCACGCTGCCTGGAGGTGATTTTATGCAATGATTTTTTTTTTTTTTACTGCACCTGTGTTTTGATTGCAACCGTCACGTGAGGTCAGGTGTGGAATTTTCTACTTGTAGCATCATGTCTGTACTCAAAAAGTTTCAGATTTTGGAACATTTTGGATTTCACATATTTGGATTAGGGATGTTCAATACGTATAGGGATTAGCTTTTTTAAAAGTCCATTTAGGCTCCTCCCTTTGCCTTCAGAGGCCTATGGCATGATGAGCTATCAGGCTGGGATTGACAGTGACTGAGTGTTCACTCAGTGCCCACCACCTGCTGCTAGCTGCCACGCCACCCTCTAGAACTGTTCAGTGCAACTCAGTAGCTCTAAAACCCTGGCACTCATCAGCAGGCCCAGCTCTGTCCCTCTTCTTGCAGCACCCCAGCTACCATGAGCCTCCTCTGAGTTGGAGTCATCAGCACATAGAGCCCTGAAGATTATGAAGAAGGAACACAGTGCGAATCCTGCCGCCCACCAGGTACTCACAGTGCATTTATGAGGCTTCTCGCCTGTGTGTCTTCGCATATGCACTACCAGCATGTACTGGGCTTTGAAGGGTTTCTGCTCTCTGGAGCAGTCGAGCCACCGGCACACGAATTCCTTCTTTTCTCCATGAATATGGTCATTGTTTATATGCTGCAATTTGAGGAAAGGGAGAGAGAGAAATAAAGTGGAAGTGTATCACTTGTTTCCGAAGGCAAGAAAAGGAAGTACAAAAAATGTCCCCAGGGTCGGGGCTGTGGCAAGGCTGGTAAAGCCACCACCTGTGATGCTGGCGGTTTGAGACCTGGCTGCACTACTTCTGATCCAATTCCCTGCTAATGTGCCTTGGAAAACAGAAAAGGATGGCCCAAGGCTTGGGTCTCTGCACCCATGTGAGTAACCCAGATGAGGCTCCTGGCTCCTGGCTTTGGACCAGCCCAGCTCAGGCCATTGTGGCCATTAGGGGAGTGAACCAATGGATAGAAGATCTCTCTCTCTTTCTGTAACTTTGGCTTTCAAATAAATAAATAAATTTTTTTAAAAATGTCCCAATCTTAGATCCTAAGGATTATATGAATAACTTCACCATATTAAAGATTTTTAAAATTCTTGGCAGTGTTTTCTTTTAAACTGTTCTTAGTGTAACAGCCTCTGTTTTGTTCTTTTTGTTTGTTTGTTAGTTTATGGTATTTGAAAAACATTTAGAGAGTGATAACTTCTATTTACTACTAGTTCATTCTTCAAATGCCTGCAACAATTGGGCATTTGGATTAGGGAATGGGCCAGGCAGATGCCAGGAACCAGAAGCTAAATATAGGCCTCCCAAATGGGTATAAGGTAAACCAAGTACTTGAACTGTCACTTACTGCCCCCTGCTTGCATCTTACCAGGAGGCTAGAGTCAGGACCGGAGCTGTGACTCGAACCCAGGCACTCCAATATGGGCTGTAAGGGGTCCCAAGCAGAGTCTTAACTGACATAGGAAAAGCCTGCCCCCAAGTCAGTGTATTTCTCAGGTAGTTTGCTCTTGCTACCTGTGCATGTGTGCTTCCTCACTAACAGGAGTGGTATTACAAGGATGGAGCTTAGTGTCCCAGAAGTACCACACTGGGCATCTGAAGAGCACAGTTTAATTCTGAGACTTGCAACTAGTTGTAGGAGAGTTGTAGAAGAGCAGTTGAGCTATCCTTGTCCTCTGCTAATTTTCATCTGCCAAAAGGAGGTAAAGGCTATAGGACTACAGAGTTCTACAGCTCTCACCCACACCAGGAGGATGCACATCACACACACACACACACACACACACACATTCTGTAACAAGGAACTGAAAAACCAGAAACACTTTTCAAACTAAGCTTTAATTCACTGTTCTGACTAAGAATCAAAGAGGAAAGAACGACATCCAGAGGCGGACTATGTGGCTGTCAAATGATTTAGTCCCAAGCATCTTGGTTTTCTTCATACACAAAACAAAGGAATGGATTCATGAGTTTCTAAGTTTTTTTTTTTTTCAGTTCTAAAATCCTATAATTTATTTTTCAGAATGAAAATGAACTTTCCTGAATTACTCATCAATTGAAAGTTGTTTTATATTTTAACTTTAATATAGTATAGTAAAATAATAAGATAGTTATAGTATATATATGTGTATAGTTATAGTATAATGATATAGTTTTATAGTTTAATTTTATATAGTTCCTTAGATTACTATATCAGGCGTCCTTTAAGTGGGAGACATGAGAAACCTATTGCAGCACCAGAGGAAGAGAAGGGTCTTAATCTGGATCAACTTAAAGAAAATTCAAGTAAGTTGACTATGCTACTTAAGTGTTTGGTTATATACTGTCTATGTTGAAACTTTGTCTTTCTTTCTTTCATTAAAAGTTTTTTAAATCATTTATTTATTTGAGAAAGAAATTTTTTTCCCACTGATTCACTTCCCATATGCCCTCAATAGTTGGGGTTAGGCCAAGGGCTAAAGCCAGGAGCCTATTAATTCTAGGTCTCCCACATGAGTAGCAGGAACCCAAGTACTTGAGCCATCACTTCCTGCCTCCCAGAGTGTGTGTTTGCAGTGAGTTTCATCTGAAGCACAGCTGAGACTCAAACCTAGGGGCTGCAATATAGAATCTAAGTATGTTAACAACTATGCCAAATGTTTACTCCCCAAAACCCTTAAAGATTAATTCATTGATTTGAGAAGGAGAGACAGAGAGAGAATATCTGTTGGTTTACCCTCCCAAAGCCTACAATAGCTGGGGTTGGGCCCCAGGGCCAACACTGGGAGCTGACTCAATCCAGGTTGCCTACATGGATGCCAGGAACTCAATTACTTGAGCCATCGCCACTATCTCCTAGAATCTACATAGTAGGAAGCTACAATCAGAAGTCAGAGCTGAGAATTGAACCAAGGTACTCTAATGCGGGATGCAGGTATCTTAACTGCTAGGCTAAATGCCTACCCTAACACTGTCAATTTTCATTTTCTAGTCATCCTGCTTTAATTTAATTTGCCTTAGTTTTTAATTTGCCTATTTGGCATAATTTGAAGCTTTTAGGAACACTTTCTCAACCATACATGGAAGTATATCACTAAAAAGTTCCTCCAGTGAGAGAAACTTCCCTTTGTTTTCATATACAGTGTGGTGGTGACACATTTCACTACATTCTTACTAAGGCCATGGCTCCTAAATGAGAGTGGTCTTCAGGGGCCTGAGGATAGACTTCTACCATCTGAGTTGGCCTTTCCCAGGTATTCCACTAGGTGGCCTGCTGCTTTAGGGGAAAACGAAGTTTCTATAAAATGCATAAAGTTTTCCAGGCTGTTTCTGGAGCTGAAAGAGGACAGAGAAAATGCCCTCAGAAAGCTTGTGACAGAAGAGAATCCATGCACACTGCAGCACAGGGACACAGCCAGGATCTTGGGGGATGCCTTGGAAATGACAAGGAAACCAAGAGAATCCCCACTCAGGGACACAATGATACAGCAACCCCTTGGCCAACGGATGTGGGTTTCCTTTTGAAAACCACTGTCCTGTGTATGAGTGCCTCTTGAAAGAGATGATTTGCACGTGAGTCTATGAGGAGAACAGATGTGCTGGCCAGGGAACAACAGGCATCTTTGAATTCATGCTTCAAGTGCATCTTTGTAGCCCACACTCATAGCCCAGAATTGCCCCAAATGTGTGCCGAAGCCCAGCCTTTGAAACCTATAGGGGTCCTTTGAATTTTCCTTTCCAGGGAGAAAAATAAACGATCATACAAATTCATTCCATAAAAGTTATTCTTGGTCCATTTTGGTCCTTTGGATTAAGACACACGATAGGAAAAGGAAGGAAGAGAGGGAGGAAGAGCAGAAGGGAGGGGGAGAGAGAAAGGCAGGAAAAGTTAAAGTTGGAAAATAACTGAGTCAACTACTTAAGGTTGCAACACACAGTGTCCTGGTACTTGGCGGTACTCAGTAAGTATCTGTGGACCTGGTTTGACTCATGCAGCAAACTGAACTTCCACTGGGTAAAAGAAATTACAGTGCATGATTCTGTTTATCTTAATTCAACTTCATTCTGCCTGGTCCCCTAACAACAGGAATTTAACATAAGGTATTTCATAGGATTTGAAGGCTATCCAAATGCAAACCCCTCATGCTGGGCAGAACAAAAGACATGCACATGGATTCTGACATTTCTTTTCTCTCTTCTGCATTTACAGGGATGGGCTGAATGCTACATACACCAAGTCCCAAGCCCGGGAATCAGACAGACATGATTCCTGCCCTAAGGAAATTATAGTCCACTGGAGGGAAATGGATAATGACTTAAATTACTATACAATTATGGTGTGATAAGCGTGATGAAGAGAAATAATAGGGTTTTATAGAAACATAGAGCGGGAGGTCCTGAGTCAGTGTGGAGCATCAGGGGTCAGGGTCAGCTTCCCAAATGAAGCCACAGCAGGATCCGAAGGTGAGACCCACAGGTGTGTGGTGCGGGGTGGGGGCAGAGAGAAATGGACAGGGGTGCAGGAGCACCTGCAGGAGCTTGCTGCCTCCAAGGAACAGGGTGAGACCCACACGTGGCAGAATTGCACTGGCCGTGCGGAGGCTGCAGGCCTCGGGCGTTGCCACTGCTTGGCCTGGTGAGGAGGCACGAGTTCTCCCTGGATTGAGTGGACATCATGGGGACAGCCATCCTTGTGCCAGCTTGCAGGGCTTATCTGAAATGAGGATCTGGGTGAGCTGTCCCGCACGGAGGCTGGGTGGGATCCGTCTGGATGGAACTCACGTTCACCTCACAAGAAAGCCAGCCCAGGCCTGTCCTGGAGGAGGAGTGAGTCGAGAACTCTGCAGAGGAGCTGGCATGACCAACCATGAGCCGCCAGCGGCGGCCAGTGAAGTAAGAGAGCCTCATCTTTCCCTTCTGTCCTAGCCAATCCCTGGCCAGGTGAGGTTCTAGAAGAAGCAGGATGTGGTCTCCTGGGGCCCCTTTAGGGGTGTTGGTGGAGGAAGAGCAAAGAATTACAGCTCCCCTGAGCCACCTGCCTTGCTGGGGAGAAGGAGGAAGGCTCTGGATTGGACTTCAGACTGGAGGTCTACACTGCACACTTCAGCAACCATGAATGACTTGGGAGTGGCACAGTGCTAGGGAAGGGAGCAGACGTGAGCCGAGGAGAGCAGTGACTGCAAGCATCAAAACCATTCCATTGCTGCCCTTCCGGGCTGACTCTGCCTTTGCCCCTGGAACAGCACGTGGGAATTCAAGCAGTGGGACAGTTCCAGCAGCTTCACTCTCAGAAAGCTCAGCATCCTGGGAACTCCTACTCGAGGTGGCCCCACGCAGACCTGAGTCCCAGCTGAAACACTTCCGCAATCTTCTGGAATTGCTCTTGAGGTCAAACTTGCATGGAGACCACCGTTAGGATTTACATGAAACTCAGTGATGTAGGAGCACAGGAACAAGGCTAATCTTTCTTTTTTTCATAGCCCACAAGCTGCTCAGAGGACACAGTCACTTACTGTAAGGAGACAGGGAGGCACCCTTCTGACGGCTTAGTTCAAATGTGTCTTGAGCTTAAAATATTTCCAAGAGCTAAACTTCAGCTGAAAACTAAAATTGAGAAATTATAGACTTCACATGTTCAGATGTTCCAAATATTTAA